ATTGTCTCCAAAGCTAGTAAAACTAAACTCTGAAGAAAAAATATTTTTTTGGAAATGCTCACAACTTAGTCACTCTGTTAAAACACAATTGACATAACCTCTTTTCCTTTCAGGCCTCTCCTGAAACAACAGTTAAAGACATGAGTCAAGCTGAAGGCTCATTCTCCCTGGTTTGTTGGGCATAATGGGATAATTGCCCAGACTGTCATTAAACTGTTTCCATTTTGATGATTGATTCTAAAAGTCTCAAGGTGGCTCCAGAACTTCTTTGGACAAGTCTTTGAATCATCTGTCTACCCAAAGCACAATTTCGCCAACAACAGTGATTTATTTTTAAAAAGGGAAGCGCTGATTTTCCTTTTGAACAAAAATCTCAGCTTGGATTCAAAAGATCTGGGCTGGAAATCTGGCCCTACTCCTTATGAGCTGTGTATCCTTGGGCTCCTTATCTAACCTTTATGAGTCTGTTTTCTTATGTAATTACTCATATAATTCCTAACTGACAGGACTGTTGAGAGAATTAAATGAGGTTATCATTTTGAAAGTATTAGTCCAGGGCTTGGCCCAAATCAGGTGTTCAATAAATGCATATTCATCGATTCATTCATTTATATGCCTAGCAAACGATATTTCTCAGGGTACGTGGGCACTCTTTGATCTTAATGAGTATCATCAGCTACAAAAAGAAAAAAGAGATGGTTCTTCATACTTCGATTTCTTCCACTTGAATAGATTTCCATCAGTATTGTAAGGAATGTCCTTCCCCAAGAATCATCCTCTCTTCCTCAGTGCTCCATGCTTCTGCCTTCCATTTGCTCTAAGTGTTTATTTTGTTTTTTTCCATCTTAAAACTACTGATAAATGTCAAATTAGCTTTTATATTCCCTGGAGATGTATCATCTTCAAGCATATACTCTCATTTTTAGGGAAGTCATTGCATCAGCATGCCTTTTGGAGGGTCTTTCCACTCTGCTGACCAAGCCTGTCTTGGGAATGAGTTGTGCCATCATCATGGAACCTGGCAGGGTGGGCAGCTGTCCAAGCCATACTCAGAGAGGCTGGTTTATTTTCTCCGAGAGATTTTCAGGGATGCTGGGGACAAACTCTTCTTCTAGTATGTCCTCAAATGTTTCATTTTCCTGAACGGCACAAATTGTTTCTTTTGTAAGTTAGATGGTTGTTCTAAACCTATCCTGGTTGCTGAGTATTCAGTTTAACCCCTGTTGTTTAATCACATTTAGTTGAATTTAAATACATAGGATTCCTAGGCTCACTTTTCTACTGATTTTTTCTATCTCAATCTATTCTTATTTGGTACTTTGTGTTTCATGCTCTAATTGGTTGAAAATCACCCATCTGTGGCCCTGTTTTCTTCTCCATGCCCATGCCCCTATCTAAGTGGGCACACAGGCCAGGGTGCTTCTGTTACCATTTCAAGTGGTGACAGTACAGGGTACAGGGTATACTTTACTGCTTCTTGTCGTCACTCTGCAGGAGTCATTTTGCTTGTGTTGAACTCAGAAATCAGATTTCAAGGTGACAGTCATGAGCTTTAGAGATGCTTATGGGCTTTTAGTTTGTTTTTTGATCTTCAAAATCTCCTCTTAATTTTATTTTCATCATTTTCAAAATTCCTGGAGCCATTCACTCATGGATCTCAATTCTATATAACTTTTGACTATGGAAAAAGATCTGGAAAATGAATACAAAACAGTGACTATTTTAAAAGTTATGTATTTTTTTTTAAAAAGTAGAGGAAAAGAAATATTTCTGCTTTTATTTAATGACTCATTTCCATCCAGGGATTCTCTGATGTGTGATGACATGTTAAGGACACATCCCAGATAAGTCCAAGCACCATGCATGGAGAAAGAGGAGAAAGAGTTGGACTACATGTTTTCACCTCTCTCTCTCTACCCTGTTAAAAAACCTACCTATAATTTCTACAGTAGTTGGGGGATATTTTCTTTATCTTTACTTTTGGAACAGGGCAGAAGTAATACAGTACTAAAAAAAACAAAAAAAATGCTATCAATAACTATCTAACCTTTTGGTAACCACAGAAGTGTATGAACACTTCTTGAGAACCATTTATGTACAAGGCACTGAACTGTGGTTCAGTGTGGTTCAGGGTACCTATGGTGTTTGAGGGCAGATGTAAATATCTAAATAATATATATAAAACTCCCTTCCAAGGCAGTTGGTAACACATCTGTGGGTAACACACGCCATCTGAATTCTGTGAAGGTTACAGTGGGAGGGATATAAGAGGGTTGCCCCTGGCTGGAGAGGTTATTATAGATTTCTGAAGGCAAAGAGAGCTGAGGATGGGTAAGAGTTTGATGGGCAGAGATAAATAGATATTCCAGATAAAGTAATAGAATTGTCTGGGTAGAAATGAATAACTGAATGAAGAACAAAATGAATAATTTTTAATAGCTAAGAAAATGAATTTTATATAAATGCCATGAGAGAGTTTAGTGTTGCTGCTCTAATATAAATTTTAAAATTTCCATGGAATTTATACCTAACCATGATGAAAAGGTTCATAGTACCAAATGCACAAATACAAACAAATGTCAGATGATGCAATCCATATGATCAGTCCAGGCTTCAACTGCTTGTGGTATTTGGACAAGAAGAAGTGTTCAAAATCAATGTAAAAACCTCTGAAATTCAGCCAAATTCCTCTGAAAATCCTCGCTATCTCTAGGTTCTGGGGTTGAAGGAATTTTTGATTCTGGACATTTTAATCACAAGATAATTTTGCTCATATCCATGGCCCCTACTGGGTAAAAGTTGACAAATCCTAAGGGAGAAATATCTGGTGAGAGAAGAGCTGTGTCATCCCTGACAGTTTTCTTTTAAACTGAGAATACTCCTCTGCCAAGGTAGCCAGGTCACATTCCATGGGCTAATGCTGTGGCCTGGTGCCTACAGACTGGTTGGCATTGCAAGGGTTAACATTCATCAGAATCATCACAGCCATTCGTTGAAGCTTGCCCACGTGCCAAGCATCTTGCAAGCACTTTGCATGCACAGTTGTGTTTGCTGTTCCTGGTGATGCTAGGAAGCTCCAGCCATGCTCATTTTACATATTAAAAAAACAAAAGGATGAGAAAGGTTAAGAAAACCACTCGGGTCTGAACAGATTCATACTCATCTTGAAACCCCGCAAAGCCTGTGTTCTTTCCATTTGGGATTGTGACAATGCAAAATAGTTCATTGATTCAGAGAGATATTTACACCTGCTAAAGGAAGGTCTTATTGTTAAGCAAACAAACAAATCAACCAATAAATAAATAAAAAGCACAGCCATTTCATTTTCTTTATGTAGTCTTCCCTAAAAGTCTTTCATCAGGAGTCTCTTTCTTTGAGTGAGGTATGGAGAGCTCTTGGCCCTGCTAACAAAAAACATACTCGGTGTCTGATTGCTGAGGCTGGGACTTCCAGTACTATGTTAAATAACAGTGGTGAGAGTGGACAACCCTGTCTGGTTCCTGACCTTGGGGAAAAAGCTCTCTGTTTTTCCCCATTGACATGGTATTCGTTGTGGGTCTTTCGTACATGGCCTTTATGATGTTGAGGTATGTTCCCTCTGTCCCTACTGTGTTGAGAGTTTTTATCATGAATGGATGCTGTATTTTGTCAACTGCTTTTTCTGCATCTGTTGAGAGGATCATATGGTTCTTATCCTTTCTTTTATTAATGTATTGTATCACATTGATTGATTTGTGGATGTTGAACCACCCTTGCAACCCAGGAATAAATCCCACTTGATTGTGGTGAATGATTCTTTTAATGTACTGTTGGATCCGATCTGCTAGGTTTTTGTTGAGAATTTTTGCATCCATATTCATCAGAGATATTGGTCTGTAACTCTCCTTTTTAGTGGAATCTCTGTTTTCGGAATCAAGGTAATGCTGGCCTTGTAGAATGAGTTTGGAAGCTTTCCTTCCATTTCTATTTTTTGGAACAGTTTGAGAAGAATAGGTATTAACTCTTCTTTAAGTGTTTTGTAGAATTCCCCCTGGGAAGCCATCTGGCCCTGGACTTCCGTTTGTTGGGAGATTTTTGATTACTGATTCAATTTCTTTGTTGGTTATTGGTCTGTTCAAGCTTTCTATTTTTTTCTGTTTCAGTTTTGGTAGTGTATGTGTTTCTAGGAATTCATCCATTTCTTCCAGATAAAGAAGATGTGGTGAGAGATATATATATATATATATGTACATATATATATATCAGATATAGTGTGTGTATATATATATATATACACACACACACACTAGTGTGTGTACTATATATATATATATAGTACACACACACACACACACACACACACAGGAATATTACTTGGCCAGAAAAAAGAATGAAATCTTGCCATTTGAAGCAATTTGAAGGATGAACTAGAGAGTATTATGCTAAGTGAAATCAGTCAGTCAGAGAAAGACAAATACCATATGATTTCACTCATGTGTGCAATTTAAGAAACAAAACAAATGAACACAGGGGTGGGGGGGAAGAGAGGAAAACCATAAAATACTCTTAACTATAGAGCACAAACTGAGGGTTGCTGGAGGAGAGGTGGGCAGGGGATGGGCTAAATGGTTGATGGGTACTAAGGAGAGCACTTGCTGTGATGAGCACTGGGTGTTGAATGTAAGTGATGAATCACTTAATTTTACACCGGAAACTAATTTTACACTGTTATTCTACCTAACTAGAATTTAAATAAAAACTCGATGCTACAAAAAAAAAAGATTTAAAAAACATACTTGGGAAACGCTGTCACAAGGCAAGATGTGAGACCATGCCTTAGCGGGGGAGGAGTTCGCTTCCGTTCTCTGCCGGTGTTTGCAAGTAATACCTGAGAAAACTAACCACACCTCCCCCCAGGGTTCTGCCAAATTCCCTGGGCACGTTAGCAGATAGGCTGTTTTATTTGCAAACATTTTAATTCGAGGGGATTTATTTTCTAAACCTTTCATTAACTACCCCAGAACTGTGAGATAAGGGAGAAGAAAAAGGAAGAGGGAGAAGCGGAGGAAGAGGAAGATGAAGAGGAGGAGGAGGAGGAGGAGGAGGAAGAAAACAAAGTCCGACTGCTTGGGGTCATCTGAGGATTTTTGAAATTCCTTGGTTTTGTTGACACATATTTTCCATGCAATTCTTTTTCCAGTAATAATGTCTAAGTTGTTAAAGAAACTTGCAATAAAATGCTAATTTTCCTCTGACATTTCTCAACCCAAAACTTGTCTCCAGGGGTGTAAAGCACAGTGTCCTACTTATATCATCATCAGTCATGTCACATGCTGTTTATTAAATGATCTCTTATTAAATTTATTAAATTTAAGCATAAGATGTTAAATGTAATTTGTCAAACTGATGAATCCTAGTTTCCAGCTCAATACATTGACGATAGTATATAGGAGACAAAGATGATGCTGAATTCTAAGGCTTTTACTTGGGCTGGAGCCTTAAACTTATCTACAGTAACAATTCTTCTCTTCAGATTATGCATAGTCATCTATAGCTGTTGATGTTTCCTTACATTTTTAGATAGTAAAGTCATGTTTATGTCATTGATGTATGCAAATACCATTTCTAAGTATTGGCTGCAGATGCAACGCATTTGATGCATTTGTGGGGAAAAGTAAACATTGTGTGTGTCATTCAGCACTTCCCAGGAAGACAGCACGATGCCCAGAAAATGCCCTGCATTCATTTTTGTATTTGAACTTGTCATTACAGAAGTCATGTTGCCACATGAAGTGCTTAAACACCACTTTTAACCAGATATTGAAATAAAACATATCTGCATTCAGAGTTCTCTAAATTAATAACAATACTCATGTTTAAAAAAAACAGTAACTAAGTAAAGACTGGTAAGTCATTATTAAATTCAATAGAAAATTACCCAACTAGCTGAGAGAATTAGAGAAAAAGTACTACCTCTTTTAAGCCCTATAGAAATAGCACTTGAATATCCAAAGACCAGAATTGAGGTATTCCATACTAAATATATTTTTCTAAAAAAAAAAAAATTGAGAACAAGATATGCTTCCACGTCGATAATAAATTGTTTCACATTTACACGTGTATTTAGCAGGTATGTTAGCTCTTTGGCCAGAATCAGGAAACTGTGGGTTACAAGTAAAGCATGTGTTGGATGAACAAACTAAAACCACCGAAAGGTATTTCCATGGACTTGAAAAATATTTTTGAGGGAAACATTAAAAAATATAGCTCATTTGGACCAGATCCTTTTGATTTTCAGTTTCCTTTTTTTCCAAGTCATGGAATAAATTCTTTGATGGAACATACCAGGTTTGCACAGGCTAATGAAAAAGCCACATATACTTTTTTTCTTTTTCTTTTTTTAAATTTGAGGCAAAACTCCTGGTTATGTTGTTCAAAGAAGACAAGAGCCTTGCAATTAGGTTCATTAATGTAAGTTAGGGTCTGGTTTCCTTTACTCGTGGCTTCTAGAGGAAGATCGAACTCTATCCTCATCTAGTAAGAATATCAGTTTATAATGAAAACATAACTCTTTGATGTATTTCTTTGTAGGATTTGCTTTCAGAAACTTTTGATGCTTTGCTCTATCTCCTCCTATTAGTGCTTTTATCTAACCCCCAAAAGTCACCCTCCAAAGCAGACACTCTGAAGTCCCACTGGGCTCCCATCAGTCCAGTAGAGAGGGCTGACATGACATATTAGTCTTAAATCCAAAACATATGTTTGGAAAATGCCTAGTTTCCTGGCAATAATTAAGAATGCTACTTGGCAGATTGGCAGCCACATAAAACAATCATTAGTAAATCCTATATTTATTATGTTCCCATTTTATGGAAATGAAACCCATATTACAAATATGTATAGGAAACCGGACCCAAAATGATCACAGGTAGAATCAATTATGATGAAGATGAAAAGAACATCCATAGTTTTTTCTAATTCACTTTGCTTATCCCAAAAAGGTCTCTTCCAAAAGGAGCCACATCAAAACATTTAAAATTTTCTTCCTATTAACTTTTAAAACCATCTTGGATAAATTCCCTCATCAGTACTCATTTGTCAGTGTGGCTCACTGAAGAGTTCTGGTGTACAACTAATTGAGATAAGATCTTGTGGTCACGGGAGACTTTTCCTTTGTAAATGTTTGGGAAAAAATTCCAGACACATAAAAAGGCACTTCAAGTCTTTTATGTTATATTGTATTTATTATATTATGTTATGTGATATTATATATGTTATACATGCACATACACATACATATTTAGGGATGCTTTGCACTAAGAACACACATGTCTAGCTATGTTTTTTATTAAAATACTGAAGTAATACTGAACCAGATGGAAAACATCCACTGCCCCAAGCTTCCCACATGTAACTCTTGTGTTTTCCCTTGGGACCCATTGGACCTCCTTAGAATCTGGCAAGTAAAGAGTTAATGGCTCAGGACTCTGCTCCATTGTCCGGTCTGTTCAGTGGGTACCTGTGTTGTACTGGTTGTTACATATCTTGAAAATCACTTCTGCACACAAGAATTGCCTCATGTGCGTGACCTATTCACACACGAAGTAAGGAGACTCTCTCATCTGACCAGCAACACAGTCTTGGTGATGAGGAAGCCACATGGTCAAGAAGGCTATGAAACCAGCCAAGCAACAGCAAGTGGGCAAACACACCCACTTTATTTAGTTATTAGTGAATACCCTACAAAATGCCTTGACATTTCTCCCGTAAAGATATAGATAAACGTAGACTGTACCAAAAAGCAGCCGATAGGTCCCAGCTCAGAAGCTATTGGAAAAGTGACAAAGACCTTGAGGTGTATGTGGACCCCAAAACATAGCTGGCACACTTTTCCATGGTGCATCTTTCATCTATAAAATGAAAAAGCAAAAGTTTCCATTTTCCATTTGACTGGTTCCATGTGAAATAAGCCAGTCCATCTAAGCAATAACATTTACTTTGTTTTTTAAATTGCTGACTCTATGAAAGAAAATCTCTTTGTTACAAAGTTCAAATTCCAAATAAAACTGAGATGGGGAATTCAAAAGAGTCTCTAGAGAAAATGTTTTAAAATTAGAATCATCTTAGAAATATGTTAGGGACTAAATATGACATGAATTTTTTTCCTTTAATCTTTAACTTTTTGTATTTTTATCTTCTCATTTGGTAATATTTTCAATTTAACTTTAGAGTGCTTTTAGCCATTTAAATAGTAGTTTGTACAAAACAATACTAGTTTTACCCTTTCATTCTACATATATTTATTGATTCTGCTTAGGGGTTTTACTTGACTTTGGTAGGATATCCTTACAACTCTAGACATAAGTGCACTTTAATAAGAAATCAATAATTAAATTTAACAACCATATATTGTGCTCAGTATTTTGTCACATCATAAGTATTCATTAATTCAATTGAATTAAAGTGGTTTGCCATTTACTAGTGGTTTCTAAGCAATCCTTTTTTTAAAAGATTTTATTTATTTGTGAGAGAGAGAATGAGAGAGAATGTGCACGTGCACATGCATGAGTTGGGGGTGGGGCAGAGGGATAAGCAGACTCCCCACTAAGCATGGATCCTGGTGGGGAGCTCATTCCCAGGACCCCGAGATCATGACCTGAGCGAAAATCAAGAGTTAGTCGCTCAACTGATTGAGCCATCCAGGAACCCCACTCTTTTGTGAGTTCTAATCATGATTTGAAGGCTTCAAGGGAAGTTCATTGATAATTATATTGATTGCAGTGAATGATGGTGGTGGTATAATCTTGTGGTTAAACACAGAAACTCTGAAGGTAAAAGACAAACAAGCAAAACAAGTTAGATGTACTCCTGACTTTGCCACTTGCTAACACTATGACTATGTGGAAACTATATTAACCTTTCTGTGCTTCAGTTTCCTTAGCTGTAAAATGGGGGATTAAAGCATTAAATAGAATGATGCATGTGTCTGACACAAATAAATAAATGGTAGTAGTGGTAATAGCAGTATATTATTATAAACTATGAGGACAGATCTTCAGAGAGTTAGGATAACAAGTTTCTTATCAGATCAGATAGAAACTGAATCTCATATCCAGAATACAATCTCAACACTGGAAAGTTTTCATCAGCTCAGAGGAAATATTAATTTTGACTCTTTCTTTTAATCACCACCTCTTCACCCTGTTGGTGAAGGAGGGATTCCTTCCCTGGGGTTAGGGGGATGGCCAAACACACAATGTCCGACACTGAACAGATGAGATCAACAGGAGTTTGTTAGTTACATAGACTCAGACCCCAGGGCAAGAGGACATCACATGTCATGAAAGGTCGTAAGGGATGCACTCGGGAACAGAGTGATAAACTAAGGGCTGCAGAAGTTTCAAGTTAAGGGTCTGGTTTCCACAGGAGATGCCTGACTTGTTTGAATAATCCCTCAAACTGGCAGGAAATTGAAGCCCACTATTCAGAAATAAGTAGGCACTGTGCCTGGTCCCCTTGATAAGGAAGGTCATATGGCTAGGCAATCTCATCCACAGGAACAGGGCGTGGAGGGGAATTTGCGATTAGGCCTGAGGATTGCACCGGATATCAGGGCAACACATAATATTGGGCTTTAATATAGGCCTCATATTACATTTCTTCTCCATGATGTCTTTATTTGGAAAAAAAAAAAAGCCTGAAAGATACTCAATTTAATTGACTAAGTACTGCTAGGTACAGGAGTTTTAAGATCTGCTGAGATCATTCCTCTAGGTATTGCTAAATCTCACTTGTGGGATGGAAAATATCATCCATGGCTACATCAACATACTTCACAGTGAAATGGACACTCGGCCACTTTCCAGATATGTTGGGACAGGGTAAGATTGCTGGGTCAGAGAATACAGGTCCACAGATATGCAAATACTCTACTTCTGTGCTGATTAATTCAGATGACCCATCTACCAGGGTCATTATATGATGACATGACCAATACTGATATCACTTTATGGTTTAGAGACCAGGCTGCCAAATAATACTG